ATAAGCAAAGAAGAAAATACAAATACAAAACATAACCGATATAAGGAACAACAAGCCACATACAAACATGTTTCTAATGCTTGTGGACACAAAAAGTTATACATAGCTGATAAAAGAAACAAACAACAAACACAAACATGTTTCTAATCCTTGTCATAACAGAAACATAAAAACAAACATGTTTCTAGTGTTTGTAACCTAGAAAGTAAACTTTTCCTACTTTCTAATTGATGCCAACAACTCACTGATTAGAGATTCTTTTAGTGCTTCTTCCATTTGATCGGTTCAAATTTGCCCTGAGCTACTCTCTCAATTAAGAGATCACTGTAGTGCTTAGGGATCGAATCCACAGAGACTCAACGATTACACAATAAATATTCGGTATTAAAATTGAGCTAAGCAAGCAAGGTTTCAATATTCAAAACAGCAAATTAAGATAAAGATTGGTTTTTAAAACAATATGAGAAAACGCTAGGCTCGGGGATATTCTCAGGAAATTCAGAATTTCAAATTAATAATTGTCAGGATTTATAAAGCACCGTTCTTGAACTCAAATCACAAAAATATAATCAATCAACTTTCGTTGCAAAGACTATCTATGTCTAGAACCCTAAATTCCAAATCTCTTTGCAAATTTATAAGTTTAAGACATGCATTTAATTCATGTTTGATAAGTTCACAAAATCCCTAAACCAAATCTCTTTGCGAATAGGTATTTTGCTCATCTAGATTATTTTCAGGAAATCAATAACACTTTCGTGTCTACCAATTAACCTAAGATCAGATTCTAGGTTGCTTTCACTACTCTAGAATAAATTAACCACAATCTAGATGAAGAACTCTATTGATTCAATCCTAACAATTTAACAACATAACAATTCATGAATTCCTTTGAAAACCCTAAACCTAACAAGAGATCTACTCAGACATGGTGAATGAAACAAACATCATGAATAAAATAGATATCATAAAAGAAAGTAATAGAAGAAGTAAAGGAGTTCTGAATCTTCTCTAAAGGAGGTTTTGATTCTTCTCTCCTGACTCTCTACAAATCTCTCTCTCCAAAATAAAGCTTCCCCCTTAACCAAACCCTAAAAACTCAATATATATGTCTTAATCACGAACTGGGCTTAATTGCAAATAAGGGAAACTTCTGGGCTGAATCTGCAAATCTTCTGAACTTCAATTAGGCGAGAAATTCAATTGCCGTCGGATATTGGTGTCGATCGACACCTTAAATTGTGACGCTCGACACTCACACCAAATATGCTCTCCCGGTACGTTCCTTCGGCACATCTTCTCAAAATGCTCCTAAAAGCTCCAATCCATGCCAAATAGCTCCTAATCCTGAAATGACTGCAAAAGACTCGAAAACACTACAAAAGCTCTATAAATAAGACTTATATCATGGCCAAAAACCCGTAAAAACCATGATATATCAACTCCCCCAGACTTAGCTTTTGCTTGCCTTCAAGCAAAACAGAAACTTAACCTATGAAAGAAGTTTGAAAACGCGGGAACTCACTCAACTGCAGGAAACTCTTCTTTGCACTCTTCATCGCCTTGACTCTAGAACTTAGTTTATGTACTTTGCCTATGAGAGGCATCAACATTCCTTACTCTAATCCCACAATCCTCAGGAATCTCCTGTCTCTCCATTGTCATCTCTTTACATAATTTAAAACAAGTAAAGATGAATTCTTACCGAGGGAATATCGATCAATGGCATATGGACTCTTCTCGAACCAAGACATTCTTCGTATGATTTCACTTCTTCTCCCTTTTCTCACTTCTAAGGTAATCGACATCTCCCTACTTTTCTAGGGTATCATTTTATTTTTTCAACGATTCCTTTTTCTTCTCTTTTTTTCTTTCTTTTCTGGTTTTTCTTTTTTTTTTATAACTCTTTTTATTCGGGTATCCATGAGATCCGAAGTATGCACGAGTTTACGCGACATCCCTCATATCACTTCTACCTATAGCCTTTTCCACAGTTTCTTTTAAAGGCTGAAGGGAAGAGAGAAAGAAGGCATCATACTTTGAAGAAGTGCAGTGTCTTTTGTGGTTCGAAGAAGAAGTCTAGTCCTATGTATTCCAACTCCCAAGGTAGAAGACTAAGTCCAATTAAGTCCTGATAAAAGTAGAGACAACGTTAGATCAACTGGATATCCAATGAATAAGGGCTTTCAGGAATGTTGATACAGCTCATAGTCATTCCAAACTTTGGTTCTGAGATCAAGCATAATCAAGAGTCATAAGAGTGTTAATCCAAATCAGAGAAACCGTTAGACTGAGTTCATGGTTCCCAACAAAAATTTTGACTCAATAAAACAAAAACTTTTTGGACTGACTCGATAAAACTCCAAAAGAATAAACAATGTGAGTAACTACCTCCCCCAGACTTAAACAACACTGTCCCCAGTGTTACCAAGTCTAAGATTGGCAAATAAAAGAAAATAAAACTAAAATAGATGCAAAAGAAATAGAAAAAAACTCACAAATGAGTTGCCTCCCACTAAGCGCTTGTTTTCAGTCATTAGCTTGACTTTGTCGGGGTTCATGCATCCGGCTGGTCAGAAAGCGGCACCAAATGCCTCCGAGAATAGTGTCTCATCATCCAAGGTGGTTTATAAGCATTAGGTGTAGGAGATCGACCAAGTACACGAGGAACAGCAGCAGGGCATAGTCTAGGTATGGATGGGACACTTCTTCTACCTGCAACATCATCAAAAGAACCAACAAGCGCTCTACGATAATCTCGTGGCTTGGTTAACTGCAAAACAGTCTTTGTACCTTTGAAAGTCTTATTGATGATATGAGAAGATTTGGGTAAAGAAGTTGCGTACCTTTGCTTTTCTCGAGGTCTCTGGAGTATGGGTGGTGAAGCTTTCCGATTCAGAATAGGGCTCAAGCTTGCAGTAGTAAGATCAACCCGAAAACCATCCATTTTTGGCAAGTTTGGACTGTCGTGGCGAGGGGTGTCGATCGACACCATTGTGGTGTCGCTCGACACTGAGCCTGATGCTTGTGTTTCAGCACTTTTTCTGCAATTTGTCTCAGCGATCCTCATCTCTAGCACAAAAACATCATCTTCCAATAACTTAGCAGTAGCTAGACCCTCGCTCTGGTCCCTAGCAGTAATATCTTCTGAATACTTTATGACTGCCACGTCATCCATGGCTTCTTCTAGAGAAAATGTCTGGCCATCAATAGTAGGTGCTCTCCTTAACTTATCCATTTCAAAGTTCATAACCAAATCACCCACATGCAGTCCAATCGTTCCTTTCTGAACATCTATAAGAGCACCAGCGGTAGCCAAGAAAGATCTCCCAAGGATAAGAGGATCCTGAGGTTCTTCGCTATACTTCAAAACCACAAAGTCTGTAGGAATTATGCATTCACCAATCCTTATTAGAACATCCTCTAAAAGACCTTCGGGAATTCTTTTAGACCTATCAGCTAGGATAAGAGAGATCCTAGTAGGCTTGAAATCTGTCAACCCAAGTCTCACAGCAACAGAGTATGGTATCAAGTTGATACCTGAGCCAAGATCACAAAGAGAGTGAGGAAATCTCTCTGTAAAGATAGAGCAGTCTAGCACGAAACTTCCTGGATCAGGTAACTTCTCTGGAATCTTGCTCTGAATCATGGCACTAACTTTTTCAGAAACAAACACTTTCTTCTTCTTCTTCTTCTTCTCTTTCTTACTCTGCAGGGTCTGTTTCAAGAAGATAGCACCCATGTCTCTAGCCAGCAAAGCTCCTTCCTCAGGGCTCACATCATTTAGGACCATCCTCTTAACACACCGCTTAAGCATAGGTGAATCACGATCTGCATGATCTAAATGAATCTCATTGATCACCTTTTCCATCATTGCCTTGCATCGAGATTCCTCTATCTCCTGTTTAGACTTCCTAGGCTTTGGAAAAGGAACCTTAGGCTTGTAGATATTTTCTGGAGATAGTCGCAGAGTTTCAAGAGAATTTGGGTTTGTCTGAGCGGGATGTCGATCAACACAGGGTAGGTGTCGATCGATACAGGGTTCTGCTGTCGATACCTTAGGTTCGATCGCGGTCGATATCGGTCCGTCGGGGATCAAATTCTTGAGAACCGATGTAGGTGTCGATCGACACCTTGAGATGGTGTCGAGCGACACCTGCTGTGCAAGTGTGGTTTCATCATCGTCACTTGTTTCCTCCTCCCAAACATCATCTCCATCCCTAATCAAAATGGCATTGCATCCTTCTCGTTTCTTTACAGTTCCAGTAGTCTGTGCAACCTTAACGTCCAACTTGTTGGTAAAGGTGCTCAAAGCTTCTATCTTGTCATTTAGATCAGTATATAATGCATCCATCTTCCCGTTGAAATCCACTGTCATGTTCTGCTGACCCGCTAGAATTTGTTCTAGCATGGATTTCATCTCAGTATCTGCAGATGGAGGAGGAGGCGACTGGTAAGAAGAATTTCCATAGGTTCTGACGAAACTGA